GAGTCCTTATAAAGGGCAATAAATTTGTCAGTTTTCTTTCAGAAAAAATGGTATGGTCACGTGGTTCTAGTACTGGTGCTCGGAGCTATGCTCTTATGATGCCTCATAACACAGTCGAAAACTTGTTCTATTCTCAACTGGCATCTGATGTGATTGACGGTACTATTTCGTGTAAATATCGCAGCCTGCAAGTTTGATATCTTGCTGCTGTTTCTCCTGTTTAGTTCTGTTTTCGCTGCGACAATCTTTTTCTTTTTATACTTCTGTCTGATGAATATTTTTGGTTACTATGAAGCTGTTGCGTCTTCGGGCTTCCAGAGGCGTTTTCTTCTGGTGATGAGCTCCGATAGTGTGCTCAATTAGTAACAAACGTCAATGAAAAGCCAACCACTTACGCTCCAATGAGTCGTGCTGCTTACACTTTTCTTTTAGCGTAAATATGACGAATTATGAACACTAAAAAGTTGCTTTTCGCGTACCAGAGCTGCGAAGACATGTTTTCCGGATGGTTTACCTTAGTGCGTAATAGCGTTTTATTGTTAGCGGTGAAGCACCCAATGACCACAATGTCCGCCCATCCGGAATGCGTCCCATGTACTTGAATATAGATGCACGTTAAAGTATCTCAGATGGCGAAATCGCCGGGATCCCTTCACGATGAACGGTTCATCACAATCTCATCAGGGTTTGACACGTAAAAGCAAAAAAAAAATTAATTGTTGAGACCTATGTCTCGTCGAAATGCAATAGTGGCCCAGAAAGAATTTCCCACTCCAAGGCACTAGACGCGAGATATCACAGCGCTGCATAATTCACGTTAGAGTTTGCGTAGCCATTTAGCCTACGGCCTTTTTTCTCAGCCTATGTCTTCCCGCAGCTCAGTGGAGCGCAACTACCGAGCAAGGAAAGAAAGCAGTATTGAGTTTTACAGAAAATATTCCATTGTAGCACATTCACCTGTTTGCATTATAGCTTGCCCGTGACCTAGAAAACAATTCGCACGTTAGTACTCTGGTTGACCTTCATTAGTGGATAAAAAGGTAATCTATGGTGGGCAAAAGAACGGCTGCACTCTCTTTGGAGCTGACGCGTTTCTCTCGTCTATCTCCTGGTTTCACTTTTTTTAGTGGCCTCTCTGCCACCCCTGGAAGCATTTGCTGCATGTAGCTGCTTGTAGCTGCATTTAATCTACACTGTCTTGTAGGGGGGCAGCGTTTTCCTGGTCGCTGACGAAGCATATGTTAGAGGTGCTTCTTTTTGCTTATTTTCATTGGATTAAAGTGAAGGTCCATAAGGCCTTGCTCGGCTGGTGCGTCCAACAGACATACACGTTTGTTTCACAGAAAAAAGCTTCAAGTTCAGTAATCAAATTTCATCCTCGGCAGGCGATTCATGCGTTAGGTAAAGTGGTTGCGATCATCTCGAAGAGTGGCTGCCACGTCTCAAGTAATCTGATAAAACAATAACGGTGTTATAACTGCAGATAACTACTTTTATCTACGGTTACCGAGCACTGTAATGCTATCCAAACACTAGTCAATAACGCTGCCAGTGCTAACCAATCCGCATGCAGCAGTTTAACCTATACTTGATGGTGATGTGCTCTGTCAGACCACGCGTGCTGTTTTTACACCGATCAATAATTTTCGTCGTAGGAGTCTGACGCCATTTAATCTACTGAAATTGGGGGAGTGTTTATGCTGCACAATAAACTCGCACTATCACCACGGCTTCGGTAGTTCGCGGTCGCTGCGGCACGCGCGTTATCAGTGTCACATTGTATACCCGAGAGATGCGATGCGGACTTGTTGGCAACTCATCTGCAGCAAGGTGTCTTGTAGCGTACGTAATATACAAGAAAAAAATGAAGGCACGTTTTGGCGCACTGTCTTTATGTGCCGACATTTCTTTCTGTATTTTTACGTGCGCTAAAGGCAAACCTACTAAAGATGGCGATCCCGAGAGGAGTGGGTGAGCGTCGGGGTTTCAAGAAAGAAGGCACGAGCAGGTAAAATGACGATTATTTTTTTTTTTTTGCAACAGAACTACTCCCCGAATACTTCAATTTTCTTTGTGTTGCTGTTGTAGGATTTGGCTAGAAAAATACAAAGAATATTTTCGCCAAAATCTGGGACAATGAAACCTCTATTATTATTGTCATCTTTCCGGTGCAATGCATTTCAGCATAGCGTGGTATTTTATGAGAATGACTATGCGCTAAGTCTCGCATAAGAATCAGTCACAATATGGCGTGGAGCGTCGTTTATTCTGCATGCGTGTGCTGCCACCGCAACGTTGGCAACTCTTTGTACCGTCCTGCTTTGAACAGCTTTTCGGTAGTTTTTATTCGTTCGAGAATGGTGCTCTAGAAACATCAGTGGTTAAAGACGTCTGGGTTTCAGTTCGGCCACCGGGGGATCCTGAATGTCTCGTTTATTTTTGCACACTCCTTGAATGCAGACCTGGAAAGAAGCAAGGAACTTGTCGTCAAACGATTGACACGACTCTGTGATTCGATATAGAATGTGCCAGAGGCGCAACCTTCTGTGAGGTAGCAGGCGCCAAACAAAAGTAACGACTTATACACAATACCTATAGTATTGTGCCGAAAGGACCAGCAACAGAAATTTGAAGACATATGGTGTAGTAGCGCAAATTCGACGGGGACACAGAGGACAAGTAAACACGATACTCGCTACGCCCGCAACTAATTTTATTTCAGAAGCAGTCCTTCACATACAGGGTGCCCCACGTAAATTTAGCCAGAGTTTAAAAATTCCGGAACACGTAATAACGACGTGACCAAATGCATGTTGCTCACCATTGCCTGAAGCTCGACTATTTCTTGTTCTCAAATATTGTTTCATTAGCTATGTTTTATAAACTAATTTTTCAAGGAACGAAAATAGATAAAAAATTTCTATGAGAAAGTTGTAGATAAGTTTGCAAAACGTCCGATAGTTTGCAGATGTCCGATGATGTACAAAAACTACCACTTGACAAGCCCAATCGTCACGCGCCAGTGCGTTCGATGATTCTAGTGCTCCTTAACGTTCCGCGTACGAACGACCATATCATTTGCCCTTGTGGGCTGTCTCGACAGGACCACAACGATGGTGGGAGGTTTGTAACGAACACGTTTTGCTATCTATTGCTATTTTGCTATTGTGCAATGGTTATTGCACAATAGCAATAACCATTGTGACTGCTTATCGCTGTCATGAACGCTGCGAGGTAAAGGTATCGTTCGTACGCGGAACGTTATGGAGCACTAGAATCGCAGCGCGCGCAGCCGCACCAGTAGGTTTGCCACGTGGTATTTTTTTTAATTTCGCGGGCATTGGTAGTTAGCAAGTAAACACTAATAATTAACACGTATAAATTTTGCAACTGTCTAATCGGATGTTTTTCAACCCGATCTCTAGCTGTATCACTAATATTTTTAGCCATTTCGGTTACTTCAAAATTAGAATAATAAACATATCTAATTAGACAATTTTATGTGTTATAAAATATCGTTTAACTGCAGGCGATGGCCAGCGACATGCATTTCGTCGCGTCGTAATATCGTGTGTCGGCATATTTTTAAACTCCAGCTAAAGATAGCTGGGACACCCTGTATACTGTGTAAGTCCAGAAAGACTGGAAAAGTTCAAAACCTGTTGCACGGGGAGATTTGTGAAGATGAGCATCCGAACAACAGCCACACGATTTGTTAGAACAGCTTTGAAAAAAAGAAACGCTATATGAATGCCAGGTACTGGAGGAAATCTCCTTAACGTATGATATACTGCCTGGCAGAAGCGTAGAATGGCGCCAGGCGACAGAAGACGTGAGCAACGAGTGGGTGGTTTAAATATTTACCCAATAAAATGCGCCTAGACATATTTAATCACCGTCAGCAGCAGAAACAATAAAGAAATGAACAGCTGCGTATAGGTTCACGTGTTGCCCCACGAGTGAAGAGTGAGCCCTGGACTGACAAGCTAAATAAATAAGTACAGTGTAGTAAGGACTTTACTACGGTTGCAGTACGCATTCAATGGTACTTGATACTTTCAAACAGCCAGAATTACGTCCGCAGTCGTTCGTTTCTTGGTGGGCACGGTTGAGGCATGCACCGAGAACCGAAGCAGGTTAGCACTTCAAAAGGCGATAGACACGAGGTCCGGTTATGCTATCGCGACCTACTCTTGAATACGAAGCTCAAGCGTAGTCCTATTTCTTTTCTTTTTAGGGGCGAAGCTCCTTAGGGCGTGGGCTGTGCGTCCCCTGTAGCCTGTATGTAGCCACCTCTAGTTTAGTTCTTGCAGTGTTCACTAGATGGCGGTACCGTCCCCTGTATGTAGCCACCTCTAGTTTAGTTCTTTCAGTGTTCACTAGATGGCGGTACCGTTTCCTGTATGTAGCCACCTCTCGTTTAGTTCTTGTAGTGTTTACTAGATGGTGGTACTTGTAGCTGATGATGAAAAGATGCAAGATGTTATAAACTAGAAAGCGGTACTTGTAGTTGATGAAAGACGCGAGATCTTATAAAATAGGAATGATGTCACATATGGCGCGTGTCATTGGTTGAAGGCAATCGTTCGATTTAGTGCGGCGACGTACGCTAGGGGGAGCGTTGTATTAAAATCCGTTCGCTGTTGGCGCGCGCTCGGAGTCGCCGGATGGATAAGGCTGCACAGCGGAGAGAGCGCAAGGCGGCAGCAGCGCGCGCTCGCAGACAGAATCCCGATGTGCGAGCGAGCGAGGCAAGGGACATCGCAAGCCATCCATCGTCTAAGAACAAATAAAAGTTGATTTGTGTATATACACACACAGCGTTTCTCACGTCTTTACATGATGATCGACTGGGCGAATCACACGGAAGATTCACAGTTTACCGATGAATCCCTCCGGAGCTTCGCCCATTCATCATCATTCACCCCGTGAATATGCCGTAACTTTTTTTTAAATACCAGCGAGTGAGATGCAGTAAGATAGTGAGTGCTTCGACTTACGTGGTGGTCTCCGCAAGACATGTAGTCCAGTGCATCTTCATAGTAGGAAAGTGTCGACTTGTAACGTTCCGTGCCAATCGAGTACGTTCTGGAGAAACGGCAGCGCACTTTGCAATTCGTTTGGTTGACCTAAATGAAGAATATGAGGCCATATTTCCATCTGCTGTGCGCTTTACAAGGTACACCATGTTACTAATATATGGAGACATCGCTACAAAAGTAAATTTCTTACAGTGGAATGCTCGTAGGTGTAGCCCTTTTCATAAGGTATGGCTGTACAGAACTGTTTAAGCGTCACAGTCATTCCCGGGTATACGCCATTCACATAAGTCCCTTGCGATTGTACTATCCAGCATTTTGCACCTGCTCGACTGAACTCAAAAAGAAACGGAAAACAGGCAACATGAGTGTGGTTCGCTCTGTTCGCCATATTTACGAGTAGTCTATGAAAATTGCTTCGTTAGCACCTTGATATTTATAAGCACTGACCGGTGACAACAGAAGTTTAGTAGCTCAATAAAAAAGGCTAGTACGATGAGGTAGACAAGCGCTGCTAGATTGCGCTCCCTCTTTGCTCACGCCCAGCGTAGTCCACTGCCAACACGTCAAATATCAAACGTAGTGCTCGACCATGGTGAGAGCTGCAGTAATCGTCCCGATATCGCTCACCGCGCGCGCAGGGAGGGAACGTAGTCTAGCAGCTCGTGTCTACCGGCCATGACTCGTTATCTTGCTTGGCCATAGATAACGCCAAAAGCGAACGTGCTTTCTTCCCTTGTCGGTCCATAGTGCTATAGGCAGCCACCGCAGAGCGGCGGCCACGCGTTCGCGTGTTCCCTTTCATAAAGAACGACAGTGTACAACGGATTCGTATTGTTCAGGTATATTTCTAATCTGCAATCATTTGTGTGAAGCCAGCTGTGCTCCACCAAAAACAATCTTGATTAGACGTGTGGCATCAGACACATTGCGACAGGTCATCAAGACGACTTACCATTTAACCTAATCATGATTCGCTTGCACAATATGTCTAGACTATCTAGTTTCTGCTATTGCCAAGACAGTTAAGTGGAGCCGCATTTTGAGGAAGGCATGGCCGGTTTTGTGCAAGGGAGGGGGAGAAAACAAAATAATGTATTCCTTCACAATTTAATATGATTAAAGTGAAAACAAATCAATTCGCAATATTATTCACGTAGTTATTGAAGGCAGATGTGTGCGCGCAATTTTTGCTGTCTTTTAATAAAACCCTGACTATCCGTTCGTGTGAAGTGCAATCAGAAATTAAAAAAAAATGTGGGTGTGTTGGTTACTATTTAACACAGTCATCTTCGAAGTATAGGGGCCTGGTTTGAAATCCCAGCAGTGGCGGAAAAAAATCTATTTTTGTTCGCTTATCAACTTTCTCATTGATTAGGCTTATCAGTGCTTGGACATTTAAAACTCACCTAAGAACAAAACTTATCTGCTCCAAGGTGCACCATGAAAATCGGTGGTGAGAAGGACCTTTGTTTATGTAGCTCATGATGTGACCGTCATCCCACGGGCATCTCTTCGCCCCAGGATGGCCGGGTACAGCATTGTAGGGATCGTCTCCGTCGTGCTTTGCGCCCAGCCTAAAGTACAATTGTATCGTGGCGCAGGCAAAAAGAGAAGCGTGTCGATTGGGCGAATTAACCAGGATATTATCAGTTACTTATGTTTGTATGAGTTCAACATTGCATGCGCGATTTGCCCATGGGCAAGAAAAAAACGCTCAACAAAGACAATACAGCAGAGCATTGTAGCAATCTTAAAGGTACCCTCCAACACTTTTCAATATATCATTGTCTACGTTTTTTATTTGTTGTTTGCGTAGACTGATGAATGAAAAGATAAATGCAGCAAGAACTGTACGACTATAGGGACAAGTTTTTGGAAGCTATTAAGTGCCTGCGTACCAGAAGCTCCTACGTACAAGAAGCTCGTACGCAATGCTTACCAGTTATATTCACCGTATTGCAGATGCCTTTAAGACACAAGCACCAAGAGTAAACCACACGTGCGAAACAAGGCAGAAGAATATTTTCTATTTAAGGTTTGTCTTTATATTTCATTATTAGAAGATTGCAGTGATCATATTCCCAAAATCAGTTTAAAATAAATAACTTTCTTCGTGATTTACCAAATAATAATGCGGACGCGCAATAGCGTAGTTGTTGTAATTAAGCAAATAAGCTGGCGCAATATTTTAATAGTTAACACAGAAGTAGAACCAATTGAACATAATGGGTGGTATCTAAACTTAACAGATAATACAGATAGGAAATTTTTATGCAGAAGGTGTGGCCGACTGTCCGCTATTGACGTGCACAAAAGTTCAAATATCGTGGCGTAGACATGTTCTTGCAGATAATTTAAATAACAAATTAGGGTCATGGAACATATTAGCACGAATGTACCATGTCCCGTATCATTGGACGCTTTTAAAGACCACATTTCACTTGTCCCGAGTTGCTTTCAATTTGAACTTCCAGTACAGAATACCAGGGCATCACCGAAAGGCTTACTGGCAGACAAGTTTAATTTATGAAGTACTTCGACATCCATGAGTGTCTGCGCTGAACTAAGCCAACTTTAGGGATGTGCACGCCGTCGCCTATGTGTCATCTCGAGTGGCGAAAACCAGCAAGCACGACATTGACTGTTGGCGTTTCCAATAGGAGAATAAAGAACTTTGTCGGCTTCAAAATTACACTGCACAACACGAACAAGTTGAAAACAAAAAAAACAGAGGGTCGTCTCACAGGTGAGCACTTTCGTGCGTAAAGGTGTGCGTCCCGGTGAATAGTCCCGGTTTATCCTCCCCTAACGCAACGAAGAAGTTAGTGCAGACACCGCTGACGTAACCGATACCTGCAACGACATATTCATAAGTTGATATTAGTGTTCGATAAACTTGACCTCGTTAGCGCAACCTTAGGAATGACCAAGTGTGTGATCTTACGAACCTACGTACTAAATGTGGAAGTCTTGGTCAGGAACGTTACAGTTCCTACATTTATCGCCAACGCGATTGCAAGAAATGTGCTTTGATTTTCGATAGGAGGGACGAAAGGCCGGGACACAATCATCTATTTTGTTCAGTATGAAAAAAAAAAGCCCTGCCGCAGGGGTCTAGTGGCTAAGGTACTCGGCTACTGACCCGCAGGTCGCGGGATCGAATCCCGGCTGCGGTGGCTGCATTTCCGATGGAGGCGGAAATGCTGTAGGTCCGTGTGCTCAGATTGAGTGCATGTTAAAGAATCCTAGGTGGTCAAAATTTCCGAAGCCATCCACTGCAGCGTCTCTCATAAGCGTATGATAATTTTGGGACGTTAAAACTCACATGTCAATCAGTATTTAAAAAAGCCTTCCCAAGCAACTTGGTCACAACTGCACCTCAAAAACATCTTTCGTGCCACTGAATGCTGGCACGGGTCACCACAAGTAGTCATCAGGGCAAGCGCCACAGTGCAGGTTGATGTACTATCTGCGTCAATTCAAACCCGAATAACGGCAAGCCTTTGTGATGGTATAGTGCGTGCCGTTCACTTACCACCACGGAAAGGCACGCATAAATGCGCAGAGCTGGCGAACAGGTGCGCGCGCCGGCGCATGGTGATAACTGGACGGTGCGCAATGTACCATCGCGAAGGCTTGCCGCTGCCCAGGTTTCATATGACGCTGATAGTACATGTACACCAATGTTACTAGGTGATGTAGGCTGTGAAGGTTTTGTAGCGTTAGTTACATCCCGGGCTGAGTTCTAATTCTATACAGCCTCATGGACTGTTACACTGGCAGCTTAAAATACAGCTTCGAGCCGCAATACTCCGACAGAGTGCGTCTGGATGACGTCTGAGCGACATGACGCCACTTCACGTCGAGAACAGAAACCTTAGAAATATAAACATAATTAAATTGGTACCCTTTCTTTGTGTTCAACTATATGAAATGCCGCGGCAATGCGGGCTAGTTAGTTTTGTTCACTTGCATTCATATCTTTAGTGCAAAACGGAAAGAAACGGAAATACTGAAGTAACGCGCAAACAGGACGGGTGCTCTACATCAGCTCGATTTTTGATCGAAGAGGCCAAAATCAGTCTGACATTAGCGCATGCGTGGGATCCCACTCTAGGTGTACTTTATGTGTCACTTAGTTAGCCGACATGTGCCACGTGGTGAATGGTCGAAAAGGCGAAACGACGTGCTCAAGAAAGCACGTGACAATGTTCGTGTCTTCAGAGACGAATGTCGTGTACAAGACACCCCTTTCATGTGGCGCTTGCTACACAGGACAAAGCGAGCGCTGTCTTAATGATAAATAGTAAGAGAACCATTACGCATGTGACGCACAGGACGCGGGGGTCATTTGGCGGATCATTGCCGCAGGTGGTTATTCTCCCGATTTCGCCAATTCACATGTGCTTTGAAAAAGCAAGGATAAGGCAACATGAAAAAGTTCCGTTTTAGTTCTTCCACTCGCATCACTGGTTGCCCGGCATTTCCTGCTGCCTCCAAGGAAGCCGAAGGCGATATTTTTCATCTGCTGGCACCTTGCGGATCCTTCCGATAGAGACGTTAATTCGTTTCTATTTTCTCATCTTGTTCCTGCACCCTTGGTTTTATACCCTACCTCCCCATTCAAACACTCGCAATACAATCGAAACACAGGAATGTCTCTCTCCTCGACTCCCGGTGGGCTGCCGTTCAAAGTAGCAGGCATGGAGTCCTCCTTCCTCGGATCTTCCTTGAAGAACCACCGCCAACTCGTCGCCGCTCAAATTCGCTCACTCCGGTTCCCGGATCATTCGACGTCCGGCATCAACAAGCTGTTGAAAAGCACCTCCCGGGCAAGTACCTGCAACGCTGGGGTAACAGGCCATCAATTTATTATGTCCGTGTATTGATGCCGCCACTGCCGCTGGATTTGGTTGCTACAGTGGAGCGTAAGTGCACCTTCCACCCTTGCAGCTGGATTCGACTCCTGTCTGCAGTAGGTGCCACCACTAAGTCCTTTGGGAGACGTGAGACTTCTCGTCGTTTGTGACCGACAGACAGCCGTCGATCGTTCTGCCAATTTAGTGGTGCCGCTTCCGTCTTGGCGTGGGCTCACTTTCAGTGGGGCGGGTAATAATATGTAGTAATCGGCGAACGCACCAAGTTCGAACCCAACACCTCCCTTAAAACTGTGTTGCACTGTATCTATGACATGCAACACAACCACAACCACAAATTCACAAATGTTCACTGGCTTGACACGTGAGGCACTAATCGTCACTCGTACCTCGTTGACTCTGTCGCGCGCCCGCATTGACAAAGCACACACACCTCTTACCTCACTGTCCCTTTTGTTTATGCGTCATAGTTTGGAGTCACCAACACGACATTACGTCTGCATTAGCGTTTAGAGACCACTTTTTGTGTTCGATCTGCAGTTTATGCCTCTGCAGTGTCAACGCCCAGCGTGTCACTCTCGCGCTTTGTGCAGTGGTTAGTGACATTTGAGTGGGTTATGATCGGTATTCACCTTGAATCTAGCGCCAGACAGCCAAGCGTCCAACTTCCTCAGTGCCCAAATGATTGCATGAGCTTCCTTTTCTATTCTGGCCCATCGGGCCTGAGCCGGGTTAAGCTTCTTGCTCAGAAAAGCGATATGATTATCCTTGCCCTCCAAATCCTGCTGTGCCAGGCACGCACCAATGGTGTATTCAGATGCATCTGTGTCGACAATTAACTCCTTCTTTGGGTCTGGGGCCTGCAATGCCGATGTCTGCACTAGGCAGTTTTTCACTTAGTCAAAAGTTTCTTGCACTTCTGTATTGCAGTTTAATCTCTGCGGAATACGTCGGCCAGTTAGGTTGGTCGGACGCATAACGACGTTGTAGTACTCAAGCACGTATACCCTATAATAGTTGAATAGCCCTAGGAAAGTATGAAGTTGTCCCGTTGTTTCGAAAGCCGGAATCTCTTTTATCGCCCGGACCTACTCTGGGTCGGCCCCGTGCCTGCCTGGTTTTAAAATATGCCTCAAGAATTTGACTTGTTGTTGTGCAAAACGGCACTTTCTTACGTTGAGCGTCAACCCTGCCTTCGCCAGTGACGCAAGCACCTTGTCCAAATGTTCTAGGTGCTCGTCCCAGCTCTCGGTGTATCGCTACATCGTCAATGTAAGCGCAAGCATAATGTGTATGCCGAACCAGTACAACATTTATGACCCTGTGATAGGTGCTGGCGGCATTCTTTAATACAAAGGGCATCCCTTTTCACGCCTACTGACCTGGGGGAACGGAAAAAGCAGTACAAACTTGCACGTCGTCGTAAAGAGCTATTTACCAGTAACGCCTGAATGTCTAGCAGAGTTATGCACTGGGCCCTCGCTACGTAGTATAACAGATCAATTGCCACGCTCATGGGAAATGCCTTTGTGTCTGTTATTTCGTTACAGTCTTCTGTAATCGCAACAGACCTGGATTCCGCCATCCTTCTTTGTTACACAGACCAGTGGATACGCGTGCGGGCTTTGAACCGGGTATACCAGTCCCCACTGCTCTAGCTCATTTACCTGCCTCTCTACTTCGTGCACCAGTGCCACTGGCACCCTGTAAGGGTATGTATGTCCCGGTTGCGCTCCTTCCTTGATTTTTATTTTGTTCATTCTCACTTTGCGAGTGCCGCGTTTGTTTGCGAAATACCTTCGAATGCCTCGCGATTAAGTCTCACAGCTGTTTTCTCTGTGTGGGCTCCGGATGTGCTACTTAAACAAGCTTCTGCGTCGCCCGCGCCTCTGGCCGACACGGTGCAACCGGATTATCTCCGAATTCCTGGTAGCCCTCGAATATCACTCCTACTGCACTTACTCGCGTGTGATATGGTCGAAGCTTGTCAGCGTGAATGGTTCTGCGCGAACAGTCATCGAGCTCAAATGCCTATACGGGTCGCAGTTTTTCGACCAGTGATCAGTCCCTTCCATTTTGCTACTAGCTTACTCTATCCTTCCTTTTCAAGCCATAGTACTTGGTCCCCTGTGACGAAGTATTTGTTCGAAGCCCTCAAGTTATAGCGTCCTACGTACTCCTTCTGACCGACCTCACTCTGTCGGGCGGCTCCTTCACTAGGTTCTTCCAACCTACTTCGGAGCTTCGCAAGATATTCCGCTGCTGGTGTACCTAGTGATTCCGGAACTTCCCAGTCTCCTGACAGTCTTTTTGAGAATGGTTAGGCGCCCGTTTGGCACCCGCACGTACATGAGCTCGAACGGTGACCGCCCTGTAGTCGCATGTGGACCCTCACAATATGCCCACAACAAAAACAGAATCATTCTATCCATCTCGAGTCCGTATGCGATGACTATATGAGAACGCATTCTTTTGAACGTGCCATTCCAGCGCACCACTAAACCGTTGCTTTGTGGATGATCAGGTGTGGTAAACCTCGGTGTTTTCTCCAGTTTTGGCAACATCTCCTGTGCCAATTTTGACGTAAAATTGGTGCCCATATTCGAGCGAATTGTCTCTGACACCCCATTTTGTGAAAATACCTCTAGTAGCGCGTCACATGCAGCCCTTGCCGTTATTGAACGGAGGCATACTACTTCTGGCCATCTGGTGCACAAATCTACGACACAAGGAGCGTAGTGGTAACTTCTGGCCGAAGGGAGTACCGTAGAACTAATGCAGTCCATGTTTCTTATCTTAAACGGTGCGCTGGGCTTAGCCAGGGCGTTATCGGAACCCTATCTGCCTCGTCTGAAATTTTACTTGGCACCTATGGCACAATATACAGTATTCCTTTACGTCTCGCGACATCTGTGGCCAGTAAATTGAGACCTGTTGTAGTGTTTTCCGCTTTCCTAAATGACCTGCCCATGGTGA